CCCCCTCTTGATGGATGACACAGACTGTCACTACTAATGGCTTTCTGTGGAGTCCTCAGAACTAATGAAGCTGCTGACAGTAATTCCGTAAATGAGTCAACACCACTTTATCCCTCTCCCCACCCCCAGCCCCTCCACCAGGGGCATGGAGCAGGCCACAGGCTGCACATGGGCTCTGGGGACATGGAACCGGGCGGCGGATGGAGCCTGTCACTGGAGCTGGGCAAGGGAGTGGGGGGAGAGACGGGGGAGGCACAGGGTGAAGGAGGAGAGGAAAGTATGTAGAGAGGGAGTTGGTGAGATGGTGGAGAAAGGCGGGGAGAGATTGGGAGAGGGGAAGGGATACCTGGGGGTCGGGGGCGAAGTTAGGGTCCCCCCTGCACCAGACACTGGGTAGGAAGCCCCAGGCTGAGGAGACTACAGTTTGGATGGAGAGGGAGACAGATCTATCCATTATTTTCATTGTCAAAAGCAGCCTATGACACAAGCTTTATTGTTCCTCTTTTACAGTCAGGCTCAGAGGGGTCAGGCAACCTTCCCAAAGTCACACAGCTGAGAAAGGCAAGTGAAATGCAAACCCAGAGCAGCGAGACCCCGGAATCCAGGCTCTTTCCCACTATCCCTGGTCCACGAATACGTGGAAAGGGAAGAACAGGTTACTCTGGGTTTATCTGATTTGCCCTGTTCATGGAATTACTTGGTTGGGGGTGGAGGTGCCATAGCCTCCTTGTGTCTGGACTCTGGACTTCAAGAAGGCCTTTGGCAAAACCTCTCCTGACGTCCTGTGGACACAAGGTGATGTGTGGGGAAATGGCTCAATGGCTGGAAGGATTGCTAATGAGATGGGGCAGATTCTAATGACCGTCGATGGCAGAACCGAGCGAGCCTGTCAGTGCGAGGCAGTAACTTTGGACTGTGGTGCTGTCTGTCTTTGGTTCTGTTCTGGTTAACATTTTTTTAATTACCCAGGTCACATATGTCTGCTGTAGAAATATATAAGCTATAGGTCGGCAAAAAGGAAGAAAAAAACAGCCTAAATCTCACAAACAACACTCACTGAACAGTCCTTTCCACTTGCTGTAACTTTGAAATTTTCATAATAAAATGTTGGGGATAGATATCCCACCACCAAAGGTAAATCCACTGTTCACATTTAGGGTGCATCCTGCCCATCTCTTTAAAACATTTTATTGAGGTGACATTGGTTAATAAAATTATATACTAGTAGGTCTCAAGTGTGCAATTCTATCTGCCAATCTCTTTATTGCAAATAATAGCAATGAAAGGTAGCATTTTACTGGGCACTTACAGTGAGCTGAGCGCTTTCAATGAGCTGGCAATGGTGCAGAGCATCTTACAGGCGTCATATCATTAAATCCTCATAACCCTTTGCAAGGACTTTTATGATCTACTTTTCACATGACAGAGCTGAGGCTCAGAGATGAAATAACTGGCTCTGGCCACAGAGGCTGGGTGAGCGGCTAACGCAGAGTTTGAACCAGGATTTGTCTGACTCCAGAGCTGAACTCTGAGCAGCTATGGGACCCTGTGCTCCCTAAAGTGAGCCTAGACCGCCCCCCCCATCTGCCCCACCTCACTTCACCCCTCCAGGGATGACCAGGACTCTTCACGCTGATTCCCTGCTGCTTGGCTCACACCATCTGGGGCCATGACCTAGGATGTGACCTAGCAGAAGACATAGGTCCCAGTAAAGTTTGAGATTCTACCTGGAAATCAATGGAAAAAACTATCCTCAGGTGAGGATTAAAAGAAAGAAGAAAAAGAAAAAAGCAAGCCTAACCACAGTATACAGTATATCCCATTTTATGTTATTTTTAAAAAATATGTTTATTGATTTTAGAGAGAAAGGGAGAGGGAGAGAGAGAGAGAAACATCAATGATGGGAGAGAATCATTGATTGGCTGCCTCCTGCACACCCCCTACTGTGGACAGAGCCTGCAACCCGGGCATGTGCCCTTGGCCAGAATTGAACCTGGGACCTTTCAGTCCACAGGCCGACACTCTATCCACTGAGACAAACTGGCTAGGGCTGTACACTTGTCTTTATCCGGTGACCCCAGGGGTCTTGGGTGTTCCTTTCCTAGTCTCAACCCTCACTCCATCCTCAACACTGCCCAATGGCCATTACCCTGTCCTGAAGGTGGGCAGGGGAGAGGGGCCACTGTCACTTTCATTTAGCCCACCTGCAGGTAAGCACTTGGTGCCTCTCTAAGCAGGGCTCCAGGACAAGTCCTGGGAACTTATGAAGATGAGGGGGAGCCAACCATCACTGTTCCGGACATGGCCATACTGTTTAGAAATCACATCCGATTGTCACAACATCCGGAGAGGACCCAGAAGATGAATCTGTTGTTTGCAAAGGAGAGAGATGAAAGCTATAGGTTCAGTTGACATTGTGAAGTGCCTGTCATCTCTTAGGCAGTGACAAAGCTGTTTACAAAACTATAAATGGCCTCAGCACTTGAGTCAATCCCCAGATCCACCATCTGTCTGTGGGGGCTGGGGCCTGACCAGGACAGTGGCCAGAACGGGTCCCACCGGGCTATAGTCCTGTGGGAGCTCAGACCCTGCCAACTGCGGTTGGAGCCTAGCGCCCCCTGGTGGCACGCTGCCGCCTCTGCTGAGCCCAGGACCAGAGAAAGGCAGGGGCTGGTGGAGACAGAACCACCTCCATATTTGCTTTGTGGAAAGTAAGTGGTCGGGTGAAGCATATTGTTCTTGTTGCCGGAAATCAGAATCGAGAGGAACAAGCAGAACCGATGTTTCCTGGCCACCTTGAGGAAAATCAAAGCTCAGATCCTGTGGCATCACCTCCACTCCTCACTCCTACCCCAACCTCCTCTCCTAACACACACTTTCCGTGTCTTGATCTGGGACAGCAGACCTTCAGGGTGAGAGGTCCTTTGCTTCTTCTCAGACTCTGTCTGCCATTCAGGCAGGGCCAGCTGCTGCTCCTTGGCCTGGGGTGGGGAAGGGACACAGAGCAGGGGAGACTTGCAGGCCCCTGGGGCTGGGAATCTAGGCCGGAACTTGAGTCCTAGACACCTGTGTGGTCTTGGGCAAGTGTCTTCACCTCTGTGAGCCTCATGGTTCTCAGCCCAAAAGTGGGCAATTATAGCGAAACGTTGACAGCCCACTTAGAAAAAGAGAGTCCAGGTTTTGGAGTTAGACTTTACTTCAAACCCTGAATCTACCACTGACCAGTTATGTCAGACTTAATGGCTCTGAGCCTTAGTTTCTGAATCTGTAAAATGGGTTGTTGTAGGGGCTCAGTGAGGTGATTGAACTGGGAGCACTCTGGAAAATGCAAGGTTTTACAAATGATGGTGATTTTTATCAGTCAGCCCCCTGGAATGGGGCTCTGAGGTGGCTCCAGAAACTGACACCCCCAGTTCTCCTGAACCCAGGCACATCGTTCTAATTTGCATCCTACACACCAGCCAGAGAGTGGGTTTCTCCTTACCCGGGCCCCCACTCCTTTTCATATTTCCTAGTTACCTGAGGCACCTCCCCCATTCCCACCTTGTTCTAAGAACAGACTGGGAAGGGAGTCCTGAGTCTCACCCCTCAGCCCTGATCTCAGAACCCCAGCCTCAATCTTCTGCCCTGAAAGAATTCTATTGATGCTTCGGGCTAATCCTTGGGAAGGGGTGCTGCCACCAGGACCTTTCATTCACCCTGAGGGCCCAGAACGCCGTCCTCCTTGGACCAAGCCTGCTCTTGGTGCCCAATGGCAGATGGGGGCCCACAGGAGACTCACTGTAGTTCACTTCTACCCGTTACACTGCTCAGTCTGGCCCTCACAGCACTGCCCTGTCCCGCCCTGTCCCTGGCCCCAGTGAGCTGGCTGGCCTTGCAGGTACCAGGGTGACCAGGGGGAGGAGGGTGTGAGGGCTGGGGAGGGAGAGGGGTTGACAGAAGGCGGGGACTCTGGGGGCTGAGGACTATAAAGGGGCAAGAAGGTGAGCAGGGGACGCATCCAGCCGGAGGCAGGCACCTGCTTGGTCTAGGGCCCGCTTGCTCAGGACTCAGGGTAAGTGGGCTCAGCCTGCCCCAAGGCCTGGGGGACTCCCTGGGCCTAGGGCCTGGGATGGGGGGAAGAATTGATGGTTGGCAGGACGGGGGGCCTCTGGAGGCCTGAGGTCCTGTGTGGGTCTGGCTCTACATCTGGACAAACCTCGCACCTGGAAGAGCAGTCCGTGACTGGACTGCAAATGTGTGTGGGGAGTGGTTGGTGGTGGCTGTGAACACAAATGTGTGAGTGCCTCTGAGCTTGTGAGTGATTGGGATCCGTGTGTGTGTGTGTGTGTGTGTGTGTGTGTGTGTATGACCGTGACCTTCTGAGTCTGCATGTCTCTCCCTGGTGGACGGGGGCTGGGGGGTCGGTGGGTAGTGAACCGCAGGAGCACACTTCCCACCAACCCCTTCCCTCCAGCCCCTCCCCCACACCTGCCTACTCAGAGCCATCGGGCCTGGACTTCATGCATCTGTGCCTCCTGCCCCATGTCCCACCTTCTCTGCTCCCATTTTCTACTTTGTTGAGGTCCTGGCTGAGCTCTGGCTGCTGCACTGCTACGGAAGGAGCTGTCCACACTTGCAGAGGCAGTGCCTAGGCCAGGGGTGGGCAAACTTTTTGACTCGAGGGCCACAATGGGTTCTTAAACTGGACCGGAGGGCCGGAACAAAAGCATGGATGGAGTGTTTGTGTGAACTAATATAAATTCAAAGTAAACATCATTACATAAAAGGGTACGGTCTTTTTTTTTTTTTAGTTTTATTCATTTCAAACGGGCCGGATCCAGCCTGCGGGCCTTAGTTTGCTCATGGCTGGCCTAGGCCCTAGGGGTGGGGTGGTCAGGTCCCAGCGGCTCTTTGCTTCACCCTCTTGTCCCCAGGCTTGGAGAAGTAGGTGATGGGCGAGGGGCTGGGTGGGTGGGCTCTGTTCTGTCTCCAATGCCCTCCCACTCCTTGCTCCTCAGATGGCTGCTGCACGCCACTGCCTCTCCCTGCTCTTCCTGTCCACGTGTGTGGCTCTGTTGCTGCAGCCACCGCTGGGTGTCTCGGGGGCCCCACTGGAGCCAGAGTACCCAGGGGACAACGCCACACCAGAGCAGTTGGCCCAGTATGCGGCCGAGCTCCGCAGATACATCAACATGCTGACCAGGCCCAGGTGTGTACCAGAGGGAGGGGAGCGGTCCCGGCTCCTGCCCCTTCCACATTCTTGGGAAAGCAGAACCACTCTACTGACCAGGCCTGGGACCGTGTGCCCCTAGAGGATGGTACCCAAGGGCGGGCAGGAGGCATTGGGCTGGCACCTGGGCACAGTGCTCGCTTGCCCCAGCTGCCTCTCCCCTCCCAGATACGGGAAAAGAGACCAAGAAGAAACGCCGCTGAACTTCTTGGAGTGGGGAGCCCCAGACAAAGTTGCCCCCAGGTAGGTTTGGTTCCCTGTCCTGTGTGCCAGCTCCCTGGGGCTGAAATGGGGGTGGAGGTGAGTTGGGGGTTTGGGGGGAGAAGACTGCCCACTCCCCCTGCCATGTGCGGCCCTCTCCCCACAGGGAGCTCACCCAGATGGACGTGTAAGCCACCCCCGCCTCCTCCCTCTCCAAGGGCAGTGCCGGCCCAGGTCTCTCCTCCACACCCGTGGCTCTGGCCAAAGCTTGCTCCCCACTCCCACAGGCTGAATAAAGCAAATCAAAGACATTGCCTCTCTCTGCGTGTCTCTGTGGACCCTGGTGCATCAGGAGTAGCCACAGGCAGAAAGGGGGAGGGGACGGAGGGGAAGGGACAGAAGGGTGTTAGGAATGGTCAGACCGTCTATGGGGCCATCGGAGCCATTGAGCTCAGCTCCACTTCACGGAGGGGCAAGTGTGGCCCAGAGGGAGGCAGCGACTCCCCCAGGGTCACTCAGCGAGTCAGTGAAGTGGCGCTGGAGCCTGAATCTTCCATTTCAGCACCTATAGACTCTCCTGATCATTGGCCCAATAACAGCCCTGTGCCCAAATGTACCCCCTCCCATTCTTCCCTATAGTTTAGTGTCTTTGAAGAACCAGAAAATTGGGAAGAACTTGTCCTGAGAGATTGTGAACTCCTGGGTGCAGGAGCCATTCAGGAGGGAGGGAGGGGACGGGAGGGGGGCCATGGGGAATTCAGGTTCCAGGGAGTGGGCTACCTGTGGATTCCACACTGCAGCTCTGGGAGGGCCCAGAAGGGAGCGTGTGTGTGTGTGTGTGTGTATCTGGGCTTGTCTCTACCCCTTTCCTGGGCTAGGAGCACCTGTGGATAAGGGAGAGTCATGGGGGTAGGGGTGGGAGGGAGAAGTGAGAGAATTAGAACTTTCCTGGTTTCTGGAATGGCTTCTCCTGCCCCCCTCACATGCTCAGCCTGCAGGGATGGGGCCTGTGGGCTTGGTGGATGAGGGGAAGCACATTCCTGGGCTCAGCTCCTCACACTGACTCACAGCCATGACACCACATGATGTTTCCCTTCCAGTCTGGCTGTGTCTGGTGTGTGCAAAGGACCTGAGAGTGGAACCAGGCCCTAAGAGGCAAGGGCTGGAGAGGAAGCAGCTGCCAGGCAAATGCATGTCTCAGGCTGATTCTTAAGTCCAAGGGCGTGTCCAGGAGGGGGGCTGGTTCCAGCAGATCAGAATTTGGGTCTAGATGATGGAGCCTGAAGACCTGCCCCAGAATGTTCTCTGGCAGCTGAGAGGATGGGTTCTGAGTAGGGAGAGGTGTAGACACTTCCCAGCATTAAGAATTAGGACCCTGCCCAGGACACACCTGTGAGTTGGATCTGCCCCTGCCCAGGCCTCTCTGATGGCCACCAGCTTCTGGAGGAGAACGCCACCCTCTCACCAGCTTCCCAGGAACAGGCCTGGCTGGGCTCCCACCCCTCCCCCTGCTCTGCTTGCTGCCAGGGGGGCTGGCAGGGTTCAGGAGGCAAAGGCAGGACCTTATGCTCTATACCAGGGGTTCTCAACCTGTGGGTCGTGACCCCTTTGGGGGTCAAACGACCCTTTCACAGGGGTTGCCTAAGACCATCGGAAAATACATATATAATTGCATATTGTTTTTGTGATTAATCACTATGCTTTAATTATGTTCCATTTGTAACAATGAAAATGGGGGTCACCACAACATGAGGAACTGTATTAAAGGGTCGCGGCATTAGGAGGGTTGAGAACCACTGCTGTACACACTAAGGGGCTGCCGCTTGTTCATGTACCAACACTGAGGTCCCGGGCCCGTCATGGAGATAGCGCCGCCCTGCTGTGCAGAAACTTGGGGTGGGGGTCTGGCTGAAGCCCCCCCTTTGCGGTTGCTGGAATGGGCTTCTGTCGCTCTGCTCTGCCTCTCCTGGCCGTGGGGTATGTGTGTGAGGTGGATGGGCTGCAGGAGCCGGCAGGGGAGCCCCTAAAGCCAGGCCTTTTCCCCAGCAGGAGCTCCAGGGTCCTCTCTCCCTTGCAGGCAGGAGGGTCCCTTCCTGTCCAGGGCCCACATTGGTCACCGAAGCAACAGACATTCCATTTCTCTTTATTGTTCTCACTGGGGGGTGGGATGGGAGGAGTTAGGGCCCCTCTCATAAAAAAATGAAGGAGATGGGTGGGCCCCGCGAGGAGACTTGAGTCGGGCATCTGGAGGTGAAAGCCCAGCCCGGAGAAGGAAGTCCCTGTGGCCCTGGTACCCCTGCTCCCCAGTTCTTCCTCTCGCTCCCGCCCAATCTGCCCCCAGTTCCGAGGCTCCTGACTGGTTGGTGCCGGCTGTGCCCGGCTCTCCTACCTGGGACCCTGGGAGGAGCTGGGTGGTCAGGGTTTCGTGGCGCCCCGCGGTGCGGGGTTAGTGGGATTCAGCGGGGTCGCGGGGTTCGGTGGAGGGCGGCTGGTGGCGGTTGCTGGTGGGGGTTTCCTGGCTTTCAAAAGCCCCCACTGGGGGGAGCTTTTGTGCCGTTGTCGGCTCTCTTGGGGTGTTTAGCATCCTTAGATTTCTTGGCGTCCTTAGATTTCAAGCTGGAAAACAGGTCTTTGCAGAAGCCGTGGGGCTGCGATGCGCGGGGTGGGAGGGGTGGCGTTCTCAGGGAGCTGCTCGCCTGCACTCGGGACCCGGAAACGCAGAGGCAGAGTCCTGGGGAGGCGAGGAGTCTTGGAAACGCCATTGCCCCTTGCCCCGCCCTGGGGACTCCCGGAGACCCCGCCCTACGCAATTTACATCCCCGCCCAAGCTGTGCTGGTGGCACAAAAGGAACCACCTGCACTTTTGCAGCCCAACCCAACAAACTGCAGATTTCACCTCCTCCCATGCATAAGGGACACACTCAAGAAGCAGAATCAGGTTTGGAGGAAGCCGAGCCGGACCGGCTGTACCAGCAAACGCACAAGCAGGTCCCCCAGATGCAGTCTCACGTGGGATGCTGGGAGACGGCAGACAAGCACAACCCATGTTTCCTGGCTACCTTGAGGAAAATCAAAGCTCAGTTCCTGTGGCATCACCTCCACTCCTCACTCCTACCCCAACCTCCTCTCCTAACACACACTTTCCGTGTCTTGATCTGGGACAGCAGACCTTCAGGGTGAGAGGTCCTTTGCTTCCTTCTCAGGCTTCTGTCTGCCATTCAGGCAGGGCCAGCTGCTGCTCCTTGGCCTGGGATGGGGAAGGGACACAGAGCAGGGGAGACTAGCAGGCCCCTGGGTCGGAGAATCTAGGCCGGAACTTGAGTCCTAGACACCTGTGTGATTTTGGGCAAGTGTCTTCACCTCTGTGAGCCATGTGGTTCTCAGCCCAAAATATGGGCAATTATAGCAAAACTAGTGGCCTGGTGCACGAAATTCATGCACATTGAAAGGGAATTAATTAGAGGAAATATTTTAATATTGCTATTTGCCCTTTCTCTATAATAAAAGTGTGAGAGAGAAAAGGAAATGAGTAAAATGTATATGAAAATAATACATAATTTTATTAATAAATAAACAATAAAATGATATAACAACAACAAACTCATGATATAAAAACAACACTGATGCAAATAATGAATGATAAAGTGACTAAACTTATTCTAATATCTCCCTGTATACCACATTAAGAGTAAAAACACTTTGAGTGCTTGACAATTTCCATTGGGATAAAGTATTTATATATATATTTTTATTTTTAAAAAAAATATATTTTATTGATTTTTTACAGAGAGGAAGGGAGAGAGATAGAGAGTTAGAAACATCGATGAGAGAGAAACATCGATAAGCTGCCTCCTGCACATCTCCCACTGGGGATGTGCCCACAACCCAGGTACATGCCCTTGACCGGAATTGAACCTGGGACCTTTCAGTCCGCAGGCCGACGCTCTATCCACTGAGCCAAACCAGTTTTGGCAGGATAAAGTATTTATAACTTTATTTTTTTAAATATATTTTATTGATTTTTTACAGAGAAGAAGGGAGAGGGATAGAGAGTTAGAAACATTGATGAGAGAGATCGATCAGCTGCCTCCTGCACGCCCCCCACTGGGGATGTGCCCGCAACAAGGGTACATGCCCTTGACCGGAATCGAACCCGGGACCCTTGAGTCCACAGGCCGACGCTCTATCCACTGAGCCAAAACGGTTCGGCAAGTATTTATAACTTTAACTTTAACATCACACGATCTGTGAACTTGAGAGAAAGCAACATATAATTGACCATGTGTGAAAAGGGGTTCAGGTAGGAATATTCCTACTCTGTCTAGAGTTTGTCCTTGTGATTTATTAATAGTCATTGCAAATGCTGGCATCACAGGAAACTGATGTTGACTTAATTTAAATGGGAGACCAGTGTCAGATGGGGACAAATCAGTTCTTGGAATCAGATCAACCTCTCCCTCTGCAGATCCAGTTAATACTTCAGCTTCGATAATGTTAGGTCGTAATCTTTTGATAATAAATCTGGTACCATTACAAAGACCCCATTTACTATTGAGATTTCTCAATAGCATGATGATTGCACCCACTTTCAATTTTAATTTATGACACGGCATTCCCGAAGGAGCAATACTATTAAGAAATTTCCAATGGTGGCATTTTGAAATTCTTTTGGACATCCCTTTGAACATTTTCCATTTTCCATACATGGACTACTTGGATTTTGCATTCCACATGGTCCATGTATCATATTTGAGTTGACAATTTGAAAAAGTCGAGGACACTGGTTCTCATCTGGAATTTCTGCCTTAGCTATATGGTCAATGTCATCTTCTGAACGTAATTTGGACTCATTATCTAATATCAATAATATGTGAACGTGAGGCAGTCCGCGTTTCTGAAATTCAATGACATGAATCTTAGCTATTACTTTGCCAAATAAATGGAATTTACATATATCATTTAAAAGAGCGTTCAGCTTCATATTAAAAACTCTGGCTACCAAGTCAGGTCTGTTTTCAACTTTTTGCCAGTGTTGTAAATTGTTTGTAATATCTGCCCATTTGGGGTTGCATGTCATGGTTATGCATAAATCGGGCTTGCCATACTTCGTTACAATTGCCATGGCATCCTGATATCGCTGCTGCATATTTCTGGGACTACCCTCAAAAGATGATGGAAGTATTATCATTTTACCAATCGGCACATTGTCATTTTCAGATCTAGATTTGAGATAATCCATCAAACCACTATATTTTTCAACTCTCAATTTAGATTGGTTTGCCTTAATGAAATTTATCAGATTGGCCTCCATTTTTGAATACGAATCCACAATAAACTGTTGAGTTAATTTTCCTGCATTTAAAATAGGATTGAACGTGTCCCTCACAGAGAGATGAAATCCATAATACTGCATTTGGGTGACTCGTGTCCTTACATTTTGTCTAGTGTTATTGTCGACTACACTGTTGTCTCTGAGTCTTAATGCAATATCTGTTCCCCAGCCTTTGTCACCATGTGGGAAAAGAATAGGATATGTCATTGCATCTAATGTAGGCAACAGGATATTGACTTGTTTCATTTTAGTGGCACTTGGATTATTAGGATCTGGTTTACAATGAATGAGCAAGTCCCTTTCAAAAGGAGGTTCTCCATCTTTGTTTCTGAATATGACAGCAACCTCGGTTACACGGGGAGAATTATATCTACCCGGGTCACTGTTCCGATCGTATTTAATCGCCATTGTTACCTCTGTGGGAGCAATACCTTTTGCTGCTGCTTCAGATTGGGCTTCCTTTTCTACCTCATGTAGCATCTTGTTCGATTTTGTTAATTCATTGATTTCATGCATGAGGTTGTTGATGTTGATCATGAGTCTTTCTGAGCAGCCCTGATTTTCTGGCATTGCTAATCTTTTACTTGTAGCTTCAGCTGTATCCAAAATATAGAGTTGAGCAAACTTCCAAGAAACACCATCTGAAAGGTGTAAAGTTGCAGTATGGTGATAAACTTGCCGTGTATTCTAATACAGTATGGCCCATATCCTGATGGCCATGCAATATTAGCACCCATGGAAGCAAAAGCAAAAGAACTATTTATGGATCGAATATTTTCCATAAAATTTTTACTGTCAGAATCTTCGTTTGTCATTAATCTTTTTAAATATACGGGTAATCTGGACAATGTATATCATTTGGACAGACTTTCCCTTTGCTACAGCATTGAGTAAATTTCCCATCAGATGGTTTTTCATCCGAGAAATTTAGGGATAGGCAAAATTCACATCGAACAGTCACTCCACACAACTATGTTGGAGAATTGCATCCTCATGTACTCCATTTTCGCTGAGAAGGCAGTTCCTACCGGTATTGGTAGTACTTGTTGACTGTTCTCTAGACATAGTCTGTCATCGCCACTGCCTTCTTTCAAATTCAAAGGCACGTTTGTCTTTGGACATTTTCTGTCGAAGACGCCTGTTTTTCGGCTTCAGAGCGATGTTTTTCCAGTAGCTGCTCTTCAGATACATTCTGTTGCAGACGCCGCCTTCTTTCAAGATCAGACGCATGTTGCTCAGCAGACATTTTCTGTCGATAACGCCGTCACCTTTTGGCTGCAGAGCTACCTTGTATCAACCGTTTTTCTTTGGCCATAGTCCTACCTGTCTACTGACACGGTCTGAGATGCAGTGAATGAGAGTCCTGCCTGTGAGGCCACTGAGAGCTGTGTGACAAACGGCTGATTCTGGATGATTCTGTGGGGGTGGGACTTCCTCCTCCCTGCTGTCAGTTTCCAAAACTGTCATGAGGAAGCTGGGATGACAGAGGAGCCACGCTGTCCCAGCCGCCTGGGTCGAACGCAGGAGGGCTGGTTGGGGGAACAGCTGGTGTCTGATTGGCGCCTTAGCACCCGCCAGCCCCAGATCCCCGTGGGAGGGCTGTTTGTGGGTGTGGCTGATGGCGGATTGGTGCTTTAGTGCCCACCAGCCCCAGATTTCCCCTGGAAGGGTGGTTGGGGGCGTGGCCGGTGGCAGATTGCCGCGGTCCCGCCTGCCAGCCCTGGGTCGGGTCCCATACTGGACACCTGCCGCCCGGGTCACAGATAGCAGGCCTGGATGGCGGCAGGGCAGGCAGGATGGCGCTGTCCTGCCCTGCCTGCAGTATGCAAATTAGCCGGCATCGTTGTTGGCGGTTAACCGCCATCTTAGTTGGCAGTTAATTTGCATATCGCCCTGTTTAGCCAATGGGAAGCATAGTGGAGTTATGGTTAATTTCAATCTTTGTCTTTTATTAGATAGGATGTTCACAGCCCCACTTAGAAAAAGAGAGTCCAGCTTTTGGAGTTAGACTTTACTTCAAACCCTGAATCTACCACTGACCAGTTATGTCAGACTTAATGGCTCTGAGCCTTAGTTTCTGAATCTGTAAAATGGGTTGTTGTAGGTGTTATAATGTACACCGTGATTCCCACAAAGGACACCCCAAGTCAAGAAGTTGCATTAAGGAGTCATTTATTCAAATGCTGGCGAATCTCGCAGCCCCGAGTGACTACTGTACCGAGCTTATAAAGGTAAAAACCACATCCTGCCAGACGTTGGAATGTGGCGCTAACTTGCGAAAGCAGATTGGACAGAAGCAGGATTGAGCAAAGTTAATAATCTCTAAAGGTCATCTACAATCTCAGTTCCTGGAGCCGCTGGACCAATGGGAAGCAATCTTTTGTGGTTCTGGTCCTGAGGCACAGAAGATAACCTTTGTGATTTGGGCTGGCAACATAATGGGGTGATTTATGTGAGTTTCTAGGTCTCAATCTGGAAACTGAGGTAACTACCCTATTGTTAAAGCAAGCAGGTATGTACAGAAGCCAAGATAGCAGGGTTAAACTTAAACAGCAGTTTTATACCAAAAAGATGGAGGTTACTGTTTCATAAGGACTCAGTGAGGTGATTGAACTGGGAGCACTCTGGAAAATGCAAGTTTTTACAAATGATGGTGATTTTTATCACTCAGCCCCCTGGAATGCAGCTCTGAGGTGGCTCCAGAAACTGACACCCCCAGTTCTCCTGAACCCAGGCACATCGTTCTAATTTGCATCCTACACACCAGCCAGAGAGTGGGTTTCTCCTTACCTGGGCCCCCACTCCTTTTCATATTTCCTAGTTACCTGAGGCACCTCCCCCATTCCCACCTTGTTCTAAGAACAGACTGGGAAGGGAGTCCCGAGTCTCATCCCTCACCCTTGGTCTCAGAGCCCCAGCCTCAATCTTCTGCCCTGAAAGAATTCTATTGATGCTTCGGGCTAATCCTTGGGAAGGGGTGCTGCCACCAGGACCTTTCATTCACCCTGAGGTCCCAGAACCCCGTCCTCCTTGGACCAAGCCTGCTCTTGGTGCCCAATGGCAGATGGGGGCCCACAGGAGACTCACTGTAGTTCACTTCTACCTGTTACACTGCTAAGTCTGGCCCTCACAGCACTGCCCTGTCCCGCCCTGTCCCTGGCCCCAGTGAGCTGGCTGGCCTTGCAGGTACCAGGGTGACCAGGGGGAGGAGGGTGTGAGGGCTGGGGAGGGAGAGGGGTTGGCTGAAGGCGGGGACTCTGGGGGCTGAGGACTATAAAGGGGCAAGAAGGAGAGCAGGGGACGCATCCAACCGGAGGCAGGCACCTGCTTGGTCTAGGGCCCGCTTGCTCAGGACTCAGGGTAAGTGGGCTCAGCCTGCCCCAAGGCCTGGGGGACTCCCTGGGTCTAGGGCCTGGGGTGGGGGAAGAACTGATGGTTGGCAGGACGGGGTCCCCTGGAGGCCTGAGGTCCTGTGTGGGTCTGGCTCTACATCTGGACAAACCTCGCACCTGGAAGAGCAGTCCGTGACTGGACTGCAAATGTGTGTGGGGAGTGGTTGGTGGTGGCTGTGAACACAAATGTGTGAGTGCCTTTGAGCTTGTGAGTGATTGGGATCCGTGTGTGTGTGTGTGTGTGTGTGTGTGTGTGTGTCTGTGTTATGACCGTGACCTTCTGAGTCTGCATGTCTCTCCCTGGTGGACGGGGGCTGGGGGGTCGGTGGGTAGTGAACCGCAGGAGCACACTTCCCCCCAATCCCTTCCCTCCAGCCCCTCCCCCACACCTGCCTACTCAGAGCCATCGGGCCTGGACTTCATGCATCTGTGCCTCCTGCCCCATGTCCCACCTTCTCTGCTCCCGTTTTCTACTTTGCTGAGGTCCTGGCTGAGCTCTGGCTGCTGCACTGCTATGGAAGGAGCTGTCTACACTTGCAGAGGCAGTGCCTAGGCCAGGGGTGGGCAAACTTTTTGACTCGAGGGCCACAATGGGTTCTTAAACTGGACCGGAGGGCCGGAACAAAAGCATGGATGGAGTGTTTGTGTGAACTAATATAAATTCAAAGTAAACATCATTACATAAAAGTGTACGGTCTTTTTTTTTTTTTAGTTTTATTCATTTCAAACGGGCCGGATCCAGCCTGCGGGCCTTAGTTTGCTCATGGCTGGCCTAGGCCCTAGGGGTGGGGTGGTCAGGTCCCAGCGGCTCTTTGCTTCGCCCTCTTGTCCCCAGGCTTGGAGAAGTAGGTGATGGGCAAGGGGCTGGGTGGGTGGGCTCTGTTCTGCCTCCAATGCCCTCCCACTCCTTGCTCCTCAGATGGCTGCTGCACGCCGCTGCCTCTCCCTGCTCTTCCTGTCCACGTGTGTGGCTCTGTTGCTGCAGCCGCCGCTGGGTGTCTCGGGGGCCCCACTGGAGCCAGATTACCCAGGGGACAACGCCACGCCAGAGCAGTTGGCCCAGTATGCGGCCGAGCTCCGCAGATACATCAACATGCTGACCAGGCCCAGGTGTGTACCAGAGGGAGGGGAGCGGTCCCGGCTCCTGCCCCTTCCACATTCTTGGGAAAGCAGAACCACTCTACTGACCAGGCCTGGGCCCGTGTGCCCCTGGAGGATGGTACTCTAAGGGCGGGCAGGAGGCATTGGGCTGGCACCTGGGCACAGTGCTCGCTTGCCCCAGCTGCCTCTAAACGCCACTGAACTTCTTGGAGTGGGGAGCCCCCGACAAAGTTGCCCCCAGGTAGGTTTGGTTCCCAGCCCTGTGTGCCAGCTCCCTGGGGCTGAAATGGGGGTGGAGGTGAGTTGGGGGTTTGGGGGGAGAACAGGGGCCCAGGGCTTGCCTGAGGCCTCCTGAGGTCTGAGGACTGCCCACTCCCCCTGCCATGTGCGGCCCTCTCCCCACAGGGAGCTCAGCCAGATGGACGTGTAAGCCACCCCCGCCTCCCCCCTCTCCAAGGGCAGTGCCGGCCCAGGTCTCTCCTCCACACCCGTGGCTCTGGCCAAAGCTTGCTCCCCACTCCCACAGGCTGAATAAAGCAAATCAAAGACATTGCCTCTCACTGCGTGTCTCTGTGGACCCTGGTGCATCAGGAGTAGCCACAGGCAGGAGAGAAAGGGGGAGGGGACGAAGACAAGGGACAGAAGGGTGTTAGGAATGGTCAGACCGTCTATGGGGCCATCGGAGCCATTGAGCTCAGCTCCACTTCACGGAGGGGCAAGTGTGGCCCAGAGGGAGGCAGCGATTCCCCCAGGGTCACTCAGCGAGTCAGTGAAGTGGCGCTGGAGCCTGAATCTTCCATTTCAGCACCTATAGACTCTCCTGATCATTGGCTCAATAACAGCCCTGTGCCCAAATGTACCCCCTCCCATTCTTCCCTATAGTTTAGTGTCCTTGGCATGGGGGCAGCGTGACAGCCCAGCCCAGAGGAATGACTGGAGCAAAGACAGCCACTGGCTGCAGGATGGCACCAGAGCTGCCCTCCTCTGGGCCGGTCACTGCGCATGGTCCGTGGGAGCACGTAAGGGGATACGCGGCTCAGCAGAAGCCTGGCCCCCGAGGGGGACTGTGAAGGGAAGGGTCTGGAGAGGGTGTCATGTGCAGATTGTTGGGAAAGGAGCCTACTGTGTGCCAGGGCTGCTTAACCCTCACAACCAGCCTGTGAGGATGGTCACTGTCATCCTCACCCGACAGAGGGGAAAGCAAGGCTGAGAAGTGCCCCAGTTTGTCCGAGGTCCTGCCCCAGACGGCATTCTAATAGAGGGTCTAGCATCAGCGTCAGAGTCAGATGAGCCTGTGTTCAAACAGGAAATCTGCCACTTGCTGTCTGTGTGCTTTTGGGCAGCGATATAACATCTCTGAGCCTCAGATTCTGCATCTGTAAAATGGACAGAATGACAGGGTTGTAGTGAGCATGACATGAAATGATGCAGGTGAAACGTTCAGCTGGGCCCTTGACCCAGGTAAACGGGAGCTTGCAAGGGGCAGACTTGCGATGTAGCCACGGGCCAAGTGGCTGTTTCCACGAATAAGTGGAAAGACCGCAGCGAGATAACAAGCTCTTCAGATGTGGAAGGAGTGGGGAGAGGCCCATGGGAGGGGCTCTGGAAGGCAGGCTTTAGGGGACTAGAGGAAATAATATCCTTGAAGAACCAGAAATTTGGGAAGAACTTGTCCTGAGAGGTTGTGAACTCCTGGGTGCAGGAGCCATTCAGGAGGGAGGGGAGGGGACGGGAGGGGGGCCATGGGGAATTCAGGTTCCAGGGAGTGGGCTACCTGTCCATTCCACACTGCAGCTCTGGGAGGGCCCAGAAGGGAGCATGTGTGTGTGTGTGTGTGTGTGTGTGTGTGTGTGTGTGTGTGTGACTGGGCTTGTCTCTACCCCTTTCCTGGGCTAGGAGCACCTGTGGATAAGGGAGAGTCATGGGGGTAGGGGTGGGAGGAAGAAGCGAGAGAATTAGAACTTTCCTGGTTCCTGGAATGTCTTCTCCTGCCCCCTCACATGCTCAGCCTGCAGGGATGGGGCCTGTGGGCTTGGTGGATGAGTGGACCCACCTTCCTGGGCTCAGCTCCTCACACTGACCCACAGCCATGACACTACATGATGTTTCCCTCCAGTCTGGCTGTGTCTGGTGCGTGCAAAGGACCTGAAAGTGGAACCAGGCCCCAAGAGGCAAAGGGCTGGAGAGGAAGCAGCTGCCAGGCAAATGCATGTCTCAGGCTGATTTTTAAGTCCAAGGGCGTTTCCGGGAGGGGGTTGGTTCCAGCAGATCAGAATTTGGGTCTGGATGATGGAGCCTGAAGACCTGCCCCAGAATGTTCTCTGGCAGCTGAGAGGATGGGTTTTGAGTAGGGAGAGGTGTAGACACCTCCCAGCATCAAGAATTAGGACCCTGCCCAGGACACACCTGTGAGTTGGATCTGCCCCTGCCCAGGCCTCTCTGATGGCCACCAGCTTCCAGAGGAGAGCGCCACCCTCTCACCAGCTTCCCAGGAACAGGCCTGGCTGGGCTCCCACCCCTTCCCCTGCTCTGCTTGCTGCCAGGGGGGCTGGCAGGGTTCAGGAGGCAAAGGCAGGACCTTATGCTCTACACCAGCGGTTCTCAACCTGTGGGTCCTGACCCCTTTGGGGGTCAAACAACCCTTTCACAGGGGTTGCCTAAGACCATCGGAAAATACATCTATAATTACATATTGTTTTTGTGATTAATCACTATGCTTTAATTATGTTCAATTTGTAACAATGAAAATGGGGGTCACCACAACATGAGGAACTGTATTAAAGGGTCGCGGCATTAGGAGGGTTGAGAACCACTGCTGTACACACTAAGGGGCTGCCGCTTGTCCGTGTACCAACACTGAGGTCCCGGCCCGTCATGGAGATAGCGCCGCCCTGCTGTGTAGAAACTTGGGGTGGGGGTCTGGCTGAAGCCCCCCCTTTGCGGTTGCTGGAATGGGCTTCTGTCGCTCTGCTCTGCCTCCCCTGGCCGTGGGGTATGTGTGTGAGGTGGATGGGCTGCAGGAGCCGGCAGGGGAGCCCCTAAAGCCAGGCCTTTTCCCCAGCAGGAGCTCCAGGGTCCTCTCTCCCTTGCAGGCAGGAGGGTCCCTTCCTGTCCAGGGCCCACATTCGTCACCGAAGCAACAGACATTCCATTTCTCTTTATTGTTCTCACTGGGGGGTGGGGAGGGATGGGAGGAGTTAGGGCCCCTCTCATAAAAAATGTGAAGGAGATCGGTGGGCCCCGCGAGGAGACTTGAGTGGGGCATCTGGAGGTGAAAGCCCAGCCCGGAGAAGGAAGTCCCTGTGGCCCTGGTACCCCTGCTCCCCAGGTCTTCCTCTCGCTCCCGCCCATCTGCCCCCAGTTCCGAGGCTCCTGACTGGTTGGTGCCGGCTGTGCCCGGCTCTCCTACCTGGGATCCTGGGAGGAGCTCGGTGGTCAGGGTTTCGTGGCGCCCCTCGGTGCGGGGATAGTGGGATTCAGCGGGGTCGCGGGGTTCGGTGGAGGGCGGCTGGTGGCGGTTGCTGGTGGGGGTTTCCTGGCTTTCAAAAGCCCCCACTCGGGGGAGCTTTTGTGCCGTTGTCGGCTCTCTTGGGGTGTTTAGCATCCTTAGATTTCTTGGCGTCCTTAGATTTCAAGCTGGAAAACAGGTCTTTGCAGAAGTCGTGGGGCTGCGATGCGCGGGGTGGGAGGGGTGGCGTTCTCAGGGAGCTGCTCGCCTGCACTCGGGACCCGGAAACGCAGAGGCAGAGTCCTGGGGAGGCGAGGAGTCTCAGAGACGCCATTGCCCCTTGCCCCGCCCTGGGGACTCCCGGAGACCCCGCCCTACGCAATTTACATCCCGCCCACGCTGTGCTGGTGGCACCAAAGGAACCACCTGCACTTTTGCAGCCCAACCCAACAAACTGCAGATTTCACCTCCTCGCGTGCATAAGGGACACACTTAAGAAGCAGAATCAGCCAAAACCGGTTTGGCTCAGTGGATAGAGCGTCGGCATGCGGACTGAAGGGTCCTGGGTTCGATTCCGGTCAGGGGCATGTGCCTGGGTTGTGGGCACACCCCCAGTGGGAGATGTGCAGGAGGCAGCTGATTGATGTTTCTCTCTCATCGATGTTTCTGGCTCTCTATCTCTATCCTTTCCTCTCTGTGAAAAACCAATAAAATATATTTAAAAAAAAAAAAAGAAAAAAAAAGAAGCAGAATCAGGTTTGGAGGAAGCCGGAGCCGGACCGGCTGTACCAGCAAACACACAAGCAGGTCCCCCAGATCCAGTCTCACGTGGGATGCTGGGAGACGGCAGACAAGCAGAACCCATTTTTCCTGGCTACCTTGAGGAAAATCAAAGCTCAGTTCCTGTGGCATCACCTCCACTCCTCACTCCTCCTACCCCAACCTCCTCTCCTAACACACACTTTCCATGTCTTGATCTGGGACAGCAGACCTTCAGGGTGAGAGGTCCTTTGCTTCCTTCTCAGGCTCTGTCTACCATTCAGGCAGGGCCAGCTGCTGCTCCTTGGCCTGGGGTGGGGAAGGGACACAGAGCAGGGGAGACTTGCAGGCCCCTGGGGCGGAGAATCTAGGCCGGAACTTGAGTCCTAGACACCTGTGTGATTTTGGACAAGTGTCTTCACCTCTGTGAGCCACATGGTTTTCAGCCCAAAAAATGGGCAATTATAGCAAAACTAGTGGCTTGGTGCACGAAATTCATGCACATTGAAAGGGAATTAATTAGAGGAAATATTTTAATTTTGCTATTTGCCCTTTCTCTATAATAAAAGTGTGAGAGAGAGAAAAGGAAATGAGTACAATGTATATGAAAATAATACATAATTTTATTAATAAATAAACAATAAAATGATATAACAACAACAAACTCATGATATAAAAACAACACTGATGCAAATAATGAATGATAAAGTGACTAAACTTATTCTAATATCTCCCTGTATACTACATTAAGAGTAAAAACACTTTGAGTGCTTGACTAATTTCTCTTGGGATAAAGTATTTATAACTTTAACGTTAACATCACATGCTCTGTGAACTTGAGAGAAAGCAACATATAATTGACCATGTGCAAAAATGGGCTCAGGTAGGAATATTCCTACTCTGTCTAGAGTTTGTCCTTGTGATTTATTAATGGTCATTGCAAATGCTGGCATCACAGGAAACTGTCGTCGACTTTATTTAAATGGGAGACCAGTGTCAGATGGGGACAAATCAGTTCTTGGAATCAGAACAACCTCTCCCTCTGCAGATCCGGTTAATACTTCAGCTTCGATAATGTTAGGTTGTAATCTTTTGATAATAAATGTGGTACCATTACAAAGACTCCATTTACTATTGAGATTTCTCAATAGCATGATGATTGCACCCACTTTCAATTTTAATTTATGACACGGCATTCCCGACGGAGTAATACTATTAAGAAA